CCCTGAACTTGCAAAATTACGCTGTGTCATCATAGGGCACTTACAGAATATTCAAGCAGTAGAGTTGGAGTTACCCACATCTCCAGGCTGTGTCTGCTTTCTGTGTATTGGAAATGTTGGTTGCGTGGGAAGATTCAAAATCAGGAGGTCTGGATTCCTGCCCCTTCTCGGTCATCTGCTTGGCTATGTTGATTCGCACTTGCTTCTCTCCTCTCCAATGTCCTAACCATGAACCTTAAATAGATAATGCAAAGCAGTTTAGGAATGCTCCCAAACATTCAACAAATGCAAAGAAATTGTATTCTTAGGAATAAGATCTCAATTATAACTCTAAGCTCTGCTACAGGGCTGAAAAACAGGATCTCTGCATTTGTTTTTTTTGTTTGTTTTTGTTTTGTTTTGTTTTGTTTTTCCCAAAGAAGTTAATTCTTTCTTTCTATTTGCCACCTTCCTGACAAGCGACATCAACACCCTCATCTGGGAATTATTGCCTTTTTATTTTCCCCTCCTGATGCCAGAGTTGCTGTTGACAATATGTATTCAAGCAAGGCAGGGACTCACTGCATTTCACAATTAGATGCCAGGCACACTACTTCCGTCAAAACAATTAGTGTTCATTTCGGCTTTACTCGGGGAGACCTGCAGTGACTGATCAGTATAAATTATGGATGCATCTGTCCAGATGCACTTGTTCATTCATGCATAGATTTGAGGAAATTTCATTCTTCTCAGTTCAAAAACAGTCGCTAAAATAATAAGAATAAGAAGAAATCCATACTTTAAAAATATAATTTTGCATATTCTCAGTGATGTTATTATTGCTCATGTACTCACTCACTCCATCTGTGATTTGAGGCATTTGAAGTTGATGGAGGGGCATTTCTGGGATTTTATTTCCCCCCTTGTAAAACCTACTATCATTATAAATCATTAGGAAATCATGAACACTTTTAACCCCAAAGGATTTGCTTTTCCTTTTCATTGGATTGTTGCTTTTTTTGTGCTGTCTTCAAGCTTACTGTCAAACACACCTCTTTTTTTTTTTTTTTAGATTGTTCGAGACCTAAAGTTCCTTTAAAGAAAAGCAGTATGAAGTTCGAGTATTCAATATGGATTAGTATCTGTCCTCTCTGGTCCAAACAGGCCTTTTGACTGTTTACTTTGTTTTGTGTTTGTTTTAATGAGCAGCTAGAAGTAGTACTTGGTCTGTTGTACAATGCTGCAAAAGTATCTATATCATTTGTTTAAAATATGTTAGGTGGAATGACCCCCTTAAATATAACTGGGGGGGGGGTGTTTATATTTGATAGGTTTATTTATTTGCTTCAATAAAAGTCTACACGTACACATATACAGTTGGGGATTCCACCCCCCACCCCATCACTAAATTAATCAGCTCTGAACAAAGCAATGAAAAGCTTTCCTGGTGGAGAAACCCAAAGCACCAGGCTGCTGAAGTAGGAGCCTGTGAAAAAAAGTCGGGAGAACGAAAGAAAATTCCACTGTGGCTTCTCTGCATCAGACTTTCCAAGAAACAGATTTCTTTTCACCTGAGGTTTCTGCCAGATAGAGATTGATATTGGCCTCACCCGCTGTCTTTGTTTTGTTATGAGGGTCCCAAAATAATGCGAAGAATAGGCAGGTTTCAAAAAAAAAATTATTTCGAGCGAACCCTACCAGATGTCCAAGGTGGTGACAGTCATAAACCAGCAGCTCCGGGGAGCTTGGCAGTGGGTGCAGCCGCTCCTTCAGAAGGAAAACCAGGGGAGGTTTGGCAGGCCTGTCTCCCGGGGAGACAATTCTGCTACACATCACCAAACCGTAAAGCAACTTTCAAGACAATAGATAAGGTGCCTTGAGGTAGCTCTTTTGTTTGTTTGTTTGTTTTTTTTCCTTTTCCAGGAAAGAAGAAAAATACTGAGACATCTTTATAGCCCTGCCTCCTGATTTACTTTACCTATTTTTTTGTCTTTTTTTTTCTTTTTCTTTCTCAAAATCTTGTTGTTTTGCTCTAATCCTAGAGAGCAGAGACAGAAGTAGAAGTAGGCCTAGAGGCCTTACACACAGCATTGAAACCACAGAGGTCTTATAAATCAGCGAAAAAAAAAATCAATAAATCCTATGTGGTAGTTTCTCCTTTGCAACCATATCACCAAGGGACAAAGTTAATGCTTTTTCTCCACCACTATCCCCATTTTTCTGTCATAAAAAAAAAAAAAATTCTGCTTAGGAACAAATGGGCAATCAAATTTGCTGAGTAAGTATTTCGACTATCTAATTTTATTACTTTACAATTGACATACCTTCCCTCTGGAAATGTTTGCAATTAATTAATTAGCAGTAATCTCCCCCAAGGGACTAATTTAATTAATATTCTCCCATTCTTACTTTAAAAAAAAATAGCTTAGAGGTACTCAAGCTGCAAATGTGCCCAAGCCTTCTGCAAAATCAAGGGATCTATTATGTGAATTTTTATCACTAAGTCAATCTGGTGATGACTATAATTCTTTTTTCTAGCTAGTAGTGTCCTGGGTTGAACGCAGGCTTTCTCCAAGGTAACAGCGCTCAGCTGGAGCAGCTGGGTTTGTTAGTATTTAGAACAGAGCTTGTCCTCATGTTAATAATCTCTTAGGCAGAGGAGTCTGCGGTCTGTGGTTTGTTTAAGCACCTTGCTGGTTCTGCAAAGCCCCAGAAGAAATAAAAAAAAAAAAAGAGGAAAAGTAGACATGTCATTCTTTTTTTTTTTTAAGAATTATTTCACTTAACTTTATTTGTTATCATTATTGTAATATTTACAGAGAGAGAGAGAGAGAAAGCCTCCAGGTCGGGGACTTGAACCACAGCTAACTTACTGTGGGAGTCCAATGCGCTTAACTATCAAACCACCTGCCAACCCTGAAACATGTCATTCTAAAGAGGTCACTGGCTCCCAGGTCTACCATTCCCCCTGCAAGGTGCCAGAGCCAAGATTCTCTGTCTAGGGTCTCAGACCTTGTCCCTGTCCCTGGGCTTCCTCCTGGGCTCACAAGAACCTAGATCGAATCCTATCTCTCGAATCCTATCTCTGGGCCACACATTAGACTAGAAAATAAAGCTGGGCTTTTGAAACAACCTCCATGACTCCTGTAGGAGTTGCAGTGGGGGAGGGGGGGGCTGGGGGAGTATTTTAACAAGTGTAAAGTGCTGTGACCACCCACAAGGGAAAGGCGAGGCTTATAGGAGTTTCTGGCTGGTAAATTTCGGCAGTCGCCTAAGTACCTTCCCGTATTGCCCCAAACATCGCGGCTCTGAGGCCCCGGGCCTGGGGATTGAGCCTTCGGTTGTGCAGAATTTACAGGGCTTCCAAACTGACGATGCCTGGCCCAGGAGCCAGGCCTAGAAGTTCTGCCTAGACATCGAAGAGCCCCCTACTCAATCCTGCCTCTTTGAGGACCTCTGGGTCCGGGTGGAAGTCAGGCCCCGCGCCCTGCCGGACGTCCAGGCGGGGGGGGGGCCGGGGAGGGGGCGACCCCCCCC